TGACGTTGGCACTCTGATGGCCAGCTATAAAGAAGGATTTTAAATATGTATCTCACTGTCAAGCATGTTAGATTGTGAAGGCTAAACATCAGAGACCCAGCGGATTGCTACAATCATTGTATATATATCTGAATAGAAATGAAAATAAATTGCTATGGATTTTCTTATGGAATTTCCTCGATGCAAACAGGGTCACGACATTATATGGGTTGTTATTGAAAGGCTAACAGAGTCGACTCACTTTTTGCCAATCAGACTGACTGATTCAGTAGAAAAGTTGACCAGATAATGTCAAATAAATCATCAGATTGCACTGTATTTCAAAAGTCATAATTTCTGACAGAGATAGAAGATTCACGACCAATTTGTGCAAATGCATTCAGCAAGATTTGGGTAAGCAGTTACATTTCAGCACTGCATTGCATCCACAAACCGATGGAAAATCAGAAAGAGTTATTCAGGTATTGGAAGATCTATTAAGGCTTTGTGTTCTCGACTTTGGAGGTAGTTGGGAAGATCGCATTCCAATGATCAAGTTCGCTTACAACAATAGTTATTATTCCAGCTTCAAAATGGTTCCTTATCAAGCACTATATGGCAGAAAGTGCAGAACTCCACTTAGCTGAGTCGAAGTGGGGAATCGCCAAATGTTAGGCTCCGAGCTAGTTGATGAAAACACAGCAAAAATCAAATTAATTAAAGATAGATTGAAAACTGCTCAGAATAGACAGCAGAAATTTTACGACCTAAAGCACAAAGCAATCAAACTTGAAATGGGAGATTTTGTATTTTGAAAGTCAGGTTAATGAAAAGTACAGCTAGATTAAGTCAAGGAAGAAAATTGAGTCACAAGTACATCAGTCCTTTTGAAATTATAGAAAGAATCGGTCCAGATGCCTACAGATTAGCGTTACATGAGGATATATCTGATATTCATGATGTGTTTCACATTTCAATGTTAAGGAAATAGGTTTCAAATTCAGAGCAGAGAATTATACATGAAGATATTGAAGTATAGAAAAATCTAACATATATTGAAGGGCCTGAGATGATTTTAGAAACTGATGTTAAGAAGCTCAAAATAAGATAGATTCTTTTTGTGAAGATAAAGTGGAAGCACAAGCCTGAAAATTAAGCTAGTTGGGGAAAAGGAGATATGCTATGGAAATATCCCTTCTTATTCCAGTAAAGTCAAAAATTGTGAGGACGAAATTTTATAAGGGAGAGATATAACACCCAAATGTCAAGAAACATGTAAAATGCAAAAAATTTGAAAAGTACCCCAAACATTTCATCTCCCAGAATTCGGTCCAAATAATTTTATAAAATTCTACACAAGAAATCGATTGATTCCATATAAAACACCATGCATGAATTATTAATGAATTGGGAGATAAAATATTAAAGTTATAAATTTAATTAATTTAACTAAAAGTTAACTAATCATAATCCCTCCTTTAATCCCGCATAAGCACTGTTCACAACTAACATATCACTCGATATTTAGTTCAATTGGGGGTCTTGTGAGCTTTGAATCCCTCTCCTTCCCTGATTTCATCTCCCTTACATGAATTTCTCGTCTCTCGCAATTCCCCTCTCCTTGTTCGATCTCGCCGTCTGGAACTCCCAAAAAGAACCACAACCCTGCACTGTAGTAGGCGGGTTGAGTGGCTGTCAGGGAAATCGCGGGGTGCGATTTGAAGCTCTGGAGAGATATTGGTCGGTATGAATTCCTCTTTCACGCCATTTAAGACTTTCATTTCCTTCCTCTCACATGAGTTTTAACATTTGTCTTGTTTTTCATGCTTTTCTCGTTTCCAGAAACCGTCAAAGGCACTGAACTCATATCGAAAGCATCAAAAGAGATTTGAAATCTTTCGTATGCGTTTTAGCATGAAACAACATGGGAAAGTGAAGATTAATGAGTTAGGAAGATTTAGAGAGAAAATAGGTCCTTCGGAAAAGCAAATTTATGCCGAGAAGCTTATTTGATATATGTTTTGGGCAAATAAGTTATGTTTTGGATTAATACATGTTAAGAGCTCAAATTTTATGAATTCTTACGATGCTTATGAATTCTCAGGTTGTCTATACGAAACGGTGAGCCCAGATGAGTGTGGGAAAACTCGTCGGGCTACTCTGTCTAATTACGTGAAATAATCTTATGCTAATTTAACAAAAAAAATCATCTATAGGTTTTCATATGATTTTTAATTTGATAAAGATACATTTAGAATTTCCTGCATATTTTAAATGAATTCTTGCAATTAAATATATGAATGTATGTTTACTTCTCTTACGATACATGTAATATTATAATCATGTTATGATACATATGACTATGCTTATGATATTAATTATCTGCACGTATTCATTTGTTATGTTTTATGCTTATGATACATTTATATATCTGATAAATGTTTTATACATTAATGATGATTTAAATATCATAAGAAATGTTATGGATAGACTACTATATGAGTACTTGCAAATACACCATGCAGGGATATAATATTACCGACTCTCGATATTTATGCGAGGTTGAAACACTGGGGACTATTGGAATTAAGCGTTGAGAGAACGTTAGGGAACCGTGAGTATCAAATGGGTTATTAATAATTGTTATGTTGGGAGAAGCTCAACCTTTATCGATAGTTTATATGGCTTTTGAGGCAGGATAACGGCATATGATGAACGAACATAAAAATAGTTGAGCTCTATACATTAACAAGTGACATTATTAAATGATCTCTATGGAATAACATTGTTATGATTATATATGATAAACAACCTATGAACATGTTTTGATTATACTGATGATTTCATGCTAATGACTTACATGTTACACTACAGTCTTGATTTTTATGCTACCTGCTCTCTTTTTATTTTCTCTATTATACTAGCATGTTATGACTTGTGTGTAAACATGTACAGCTTCATACGAGCATGCATGTTGTTTCTTTCCCGTATATAAAATCGTATGTTAGTCCTGATTATTTCTCTGAGCTCGTTGTTGCTCATTCTTCGTTGTTGCCTTCGAGGTAGGGGTGGCGAGCACCGAGGTGACTAGCCAAGTGTCTTTGTACAGCTTTTACACGATAGCTTTAGAAGTTAATACATATATTTTGGGTACGTACTTTTATTATATTGGATTTAGCAGGTTGTATAGTTTTCATGTTTTGAATGATATGATTTTTATGCTTCTTAGTATGTATAAGAATGCATTATGAAATGCAATGTATTACATATGTTGCAGCAAACTAATTAGACTAATTCATCACCCACCTGATCCTGATTATAAAATTCAAGATATGAGCCGGTGAGAGTAGGTCTGACCAAAGTGTCGGCCTTAGTCACACCATGATTGACCCTACCAGAGGGTTAGTTAGGGTGACACCACTAATAAAGTTTTAAATGTCTTGACCATTCCTCCTAACTCAAACGTCGAGGAGAGGCCTCTTAACTCGTAAACATAGGAGTTGGTTGATAGTACCTTTTGAGCCTTTTACCCTTGACTGGGAGGCATTGGCACAAGGAAGAGCTGGTTAAGGGGAGACCACATCAGCTCATTCAAAAATGGAAGTTATTCATGGTGTAACCAAAGGCTCCTCAAGTGAAAAGAGTGAAGATTTGTCAGCCAAAAGGCTTAGTAGCGGACGGCGCACCTTACCGGATGGTGTGGTGAGAGAACCTCACATGGTGCCTACAACCTTGGACATGTTGCCTATTTTTTCATTACTACAAGACCTCGATAGCTTATCCTCCAAAGAACTCGCTTACACCATAATGACGCACAAGCAATTAGCTAGCAACGAGTACCCTAGCTCATCATAAAAAGACTCGACGTCATGCACTCAAATTGGAGAAGAAATGAGGGTGAAGAGGTCGCTTCCCAAAGAGTTCAACCTTAGCATGGCAGCGAAGACCTCTTCCCAAAGAGTTCAACCTTAGCATGGCAGCGAAGAAGAATTGTGATTGCGCTAAAGAGGAGCTACAGTTGGCTAGAGCAGGTATGGCTAAAAAGGATGCGACTTGAAGAAGCTTTTCACAGAGAATGGTCATTGAATGAGCAATTGGATGCCTATAAGGCTGGGGAAACTCAGGGGGCCGCTAACTATGGCATGCTAAGTGGGAATACTCTTTAGGCCCTACTGGAAACTCCAACTAATGAGCATTTTCTCACTTCCAAGTACCAAGCTGATGTCTATTACTGTTTTCTGGAAAGGTTGGTGGTTTTTGGGTAGCTTCCGACCAAATCCAAAGATTGACTCCATATACTTCGCATACATTGCCTCCAACTATGATTTTTTTTCCCTTTAATACACACACACACACACATACATCAAAGCAACTCAAGATGAAAAAGAACATGATTTGATTTTGCAATCAACAACAAAATTTTAAGAATAAGTGAGATAAAAAGGAATCTGACTTAAAGAACTTCAACAACACAGCACTATGGCTTGTAGACCCCGTGAATTCATGGAGCAATAACTTATACAATACCTCAGAATTCAACAAAATCGCTATTTTTCTGCCAGATCTACATGATGTCAGATTGTCGCCAGTAAAGTCAAAATAAGTAATGCTAAAATGATCATCAAAACTAATGATATTCTAAATTTAGCTATAGGTTTTTATTGTGCTACCTACAATCCAAGTGAATCAACATAATCTGATTGTTACGAAATCTAAAAATGAAAATGTATCATCTCCTAATGCAAGATATGGACTATTTGGAAGAAAATGCCTAAAACAAAAGAAGAGATAAAAGTAATTAGAGACAAAATAGTCACAAATAAAAGCGACAAAAGGAATATCACTCTATAAGATCATAGAACGGGTATACATAAAAAGCTATAAGAAATTAACAACTTATCAAAGTTCATAAATTTGTACAAGAGAGCTTTGCAAGCAGTTTCTTAGTTATGCCTATAGAAGGGAAAAAAAATTAAAGGTAAAGCCAAAGTTCTAAGATGTAAGAAAATCAGCAAATATACCTCAGATCCAGTTGTAGTATGGGATATTTTGACTTGGGATTTGATATGATGAAAACATTGTCCTGATATAGCAAATATTAGAGTAAATGAATGATGTTAGCTTTCAATAAATTAATGCAAAGCAACAATTTACAATTATACAAAATACAGTCAGCTTCTCCTAAAAAATACCTTGTGATCAATCAAAGTAGGGACATCCTCTGCTTGATTCTCGTTATTGAAAACATTGTGAAATTGAAAAGATCTGAAGTTAAAAAAGAACGTACCTATGTGAAACTCAAGTAAAAGAATCGATCAATGTCTTCCTCAACAAATAATGTTATCATTCAAATAATAAATTAATATACTTCTCCTCATTTGTGTCATTTTTCTTCGTGACTCTAGCTACTGTTTCCAAAATAGCCTGCAAACAAGTAATTTCAAAGGAAGCAACTCAGCACAAAAGAATCATTACATACACATTCAAATTTTATGGCAATCGTTTCAAAAATTATACGTGGACAAATCAAGCACTAGCACACAAAATAAAAATAAATTTCCATAATGTAAGGGGCTTGGGAATTAAAATGCATAAACTCAACTACTCCAGTAATAAAAGCAAGATCAATAACCAAAAGTTATAATTACTCACATTTATTACTCACGTTTATAGTTTAGCATTGTTGGTAGGCAATAAGGTACTCATAAATTATAAAGAAAACATGTAGAACAATTTGTGAGTCAAATATATAAAGAAAAAAAAACATAAGAGAGAGAGAGAATGAATGAGTCAATTCATCATGAATTGAGACATACTAAGTAATAAGAATAATGAAAAAGGGAGTAGTATCATTTGAAGGTTAGCTAATTCAATGAACAGCAATGAGATCATCAAGCTTTAGACTACTTAATGACTACTCCAAAAAATAAAGCCACTAGACAAGAAGTAACCTGATCAATTACTCAAAAAGGCTGTTTCAACTGGACCTTGCCACAAAAGGAAGCGTTATTAAATAAGAAATTTTGATATTTAGGATTCATGAAGCGAATATCCAAACACTAATGATGTGGCAACAACAATGGTGTCAACAACAATGGTGTTATGCTTGGAAGAACAATTTCAAATACATTGAAATGCTTGGCCATGGAATTCAAATAAAGATTCAGTCAAAAGAATACAGCCTCACATAGTAGAGTTTTTTCTCTTGTTTCGTTTTCCATGACAGTTAAATTTTCAATTGGGTGAAACTATTACATTGGTGCCTAGCCTAAAAATTTGTCTATTATATGCTTTAAAAGCAATTTAGACTTTTATTATTATTATTGTTGAGTATAAATAGGCTTGTTATATCTAGGGTTAGGTTTATGCATGAGATTGGATTGTGAGTCTTAGGTTTAGGATTTGGGAGAGATTTCCTACCTCTCGAATTGTAGGTGCTCAATTTTTGTATTATTGTTGAGCTATTTAGATTATTGAAGAAAATATTATATTTGCCCTATTGACATCGGATCGTATCAAATTGGTAACAGAGCAGTCAGTTATGGGAATCAAAGAAAAAGGATAGAGAGCCATAGCTTCGATACACGACGTGAGAGGGAAAGCCAAGACGATTTATGCGCATTCGGGAAGTTGATCGTGATGCACTCACAATAGCAGGAAGCAAAGGGATTGCGGCATTCGGAGCTGAAACAATCATGAGAAGCTTCGCGGCGTACAAAATCATGAAGGGAAGCAAGCGACAGGCCGCAATAGTCGTGATGGCAGCTCCTGCGTGACTGACGCTACCAATTAGTAGCGAAAACAATGATCTAGGAAGGCAACGACAGGCTTACGACTTACAGAAGAAAGCAATGACGGGTTCAGAGTCTTCATCGGACTGCACTGTCGTGATGAACTCTGCAATACATTCGATCAAAGCATGTTGCGACACCGTCGCGATCAAAACTTGCTAGGCAGGTTGCCTATCACCTTCGTGACTGAGACTTGCGATACAGTCGCAATCAGAACTTGCAGGGAAGACGACGATGAGATCTTACCGGCCCTGATAGAAGCCATGTAATATGACAGCAGTTCGAGTTACCTGAGAAACATAAAGGATTCCAACTTACATTCATCTTCATCTCACGGAACTGCGTGAAAGACTCGATGAAATCAAAACTAGCGGGGAAGACTGCGATAAGATCGGGGGAGACCTAGTGATAGAAAATAAAGACAGCCAAAAAGTAGATAATTTGGAGAAGTTAGAGATAAAATGAGTGAAATCGGATCTGAGACTAAAGAAAGGTTCGCCACTATAGAGGATATGTTCTCTTCTATCGAAAACAGACTAGAGGATTGATTCGAGCGTATGTGGGAAATTTGAGAGATAATAAAGAAGTTCATTGAGATGCAATCCAAGACACACCGACAACTCCATTTGCGAACCCTAACCAAAGGTTAACCAGAAAATCCATAGCAAGATCGAAAAAAAAGGAGACAAATGTGAGGAACATGAAGAGGAAAACATCCACCATCATGAACCCTCTCTCAGGCCTCCGATTGTAGGTGGATTTGAGATAGCTAATGACAGTGGATGGGTCAAAACATGGAAAGAAGATTATTCAAGAGGAATGCGAAGCACGAAGAAGAAATGAGAGAAGCGGAGAGGAAATAGGCTATTGTCGAAAGGAGATTTATTGTCGATACATGAAGGAAACAACCAATGAAGAGGAAGAGAAACTTGAGGGGAGATGTTAGAGTAAAGAAATTGAAGATGTCGACCTTCGAGGGGGAAGACGCATGGATGGGTGTGTCTCGGGTGAAGTGATACTTTGCGGGCTAGAATAGGATGAGAGACTTATAGCAGCAAGGTTACATTTGGAAGTGATAGCTCTAGCCTTGTTTCAGTGGAGAGAGGCCAGATACCTGATCTATTCGTTGGAGGAATTCAAAGATTGTTTGTTGGAACATGCATGGGTGATACTTTGCGGTGAATGGGTTAGATGAGGAAGAGAAACTCAAAGTAGCAGGGTTATGTTTGGAAGTGATAGCTCTAGCCTATTTCAGTGGAGAGAAGCTAGATACCTGATCTATTCGTTCGAGGAATTCAAATACTGTTTGTTGGAACGTTTCAGAGCACTTTTGGAAAGAAACCTATACGAGCAATTCTACGTCTTGACTCAGGAGAGGATTGATATCGAATACAGAGAAAGATTTGAGCTATTGTCGGGACGACTGAGAAGGATTTCAAAAGCATGATTGAAGAAAATTTTTATGAAGTGTCTAAAACCCAACATATGGGCACATCACTCTGACTATTGAGACCGCGAGGACTGAGAGAGGCGATGGAGCTAACTCAGATGGTAGAGGATAAGAATGAGATGAAAAAAGTAAAACTTGCTCACTATTGAATCAGATGAACAATTTTTAAGAGCTCGAAACTTAAATGAACTAAAAATGAATATAGTAGAACTTGCTCACTTATGTTCAATAACAAACTCGTTTGTTATTCAACAAATAACTAGTTAAATATTCAATAAATTAGTTGGTGCGATTAAATTTGTAAAATTATTCATTGATATTTTATATGAAAATCTAAATACTCGTTTAAATTTTAAGCTCGTTTAAATTTTAAGCTCGTTTAAATGCTCGTTCACTTGTCATAAACAGATCAAGTACAAACCAAGTTCAAACTTTACAAAATTTAAACAAGTCAAGCTTGAACAATATATGAAAGCTCGACACAAGCATAAGTCGAACATGAACAACTTATAATTTTACTAAGCCAAGTTCGAAGTATGATATACTCGGCTCGGCTCGATTACAACCCTAATTAGCACCTAGCCTAAGAGCAAATTTATCTTTTCTACACCTAAGCGCAATTTAATCTTTTATCATTGTTATTATTAGGTATAAATAGACTTGTTATATATGAGGTTAGATTTATTTATGAGATTGGATTATGAGTCTTAGGTTCAGGGTTTTGGAGAGATTTCCTACCTCTCGAATTATAGGAAATAGGAGAGATCACATTCCTCTCAAATTGTATGTGCTCATCTTCTATATTTTTATTGAGTTGTTTGGATTATTGAATAAAATATTGTGTTTGCCCTAATTTCAGTGAGAAAATATTTCAATTTTGATGTCGGATGATATTAGAATCTTACAATTGAAAGCCAACAATGAACATGCATGCCACTCCGAAGCCTTTAAAATCATGGGCAAAGGATTAGCAAATTAGCTCATTCATTTTTGATACGATAATGATGACTTTATTTCATACAATATAATGTAAATGCAGCATATCAATAGCAACAAAGCCTAAACCCTAGACAGTAGTGATTCATGAGATCCAAACTAAGGTAATAATGGAACAAAAAGAAAACATTCAATAACATAAGTGAGCTTAAACAATTAAAATCCTGTTTTAATTCTAGCCATTTATGATTAGATGAAGAAAAGTATTACAAGTTGTTGAGACTAGCTTCTCCACATAAAAAAATTGTAGTCTAGTGAGAAGAAAAGAGTGGGGTGAAGTTGTGGTAGAGGTAAAAGAAGCTCTCTAATTCTACAAATGTCAAACGTAATATATATATATATATATATATATCTTTTCAACCCTCCATTGGGCCTTCGTGAGTAGGTGAAGCTCTTTAATTCTACAAATGTAATATTGCAAACTAGATATATATTTCTTTTCAACCTTCCATTGGGCCTTCGTAAGTACGTGAAGCAATCAATAAGACACTACTAAGCCACTTTTCCCATATTAATTACTTGTCCTCTGCACAAAAGATACTATGCATCTTCTTCCTACAATACCCTGAGTCTTGTCATGATAAGAGTCAAAGAACATCGCCTTTTATGAAACATCAGATGATGACAAAAAGCAAGCAAGAGATGCAACAAAGCCAATATCAGAGCTCTTTACATAGAGGTATGGCATGACATGGTACTTTTAAAAAATATAAATACCATCATGTCTTTGTCGGTTTAGAGATACAAGATCAGTAAAAAATAAAAATATAAAGTTTTTTTTTTTTTTTAAACCAAACCTTCTTTTCAGCAACGCTATTGTTGAATCCATCTTGATTAGTTTCTGTAAAGACAACAAAGCATAAATTAGTAGGCTTTAGAGAACACGAGATATTCTAAAAGCTTCATATTGCACTATCAAAGAAAAAAATCTGGAAGACTGAGAAAATCGACTTAAGCAACTTGTTGCAAGAAAGAGTAACTACAAAGCCAACATAAATCTCAGAACTTTCAGGATTTCATAGAGAAACATTTTTCCAACACTCACGTTAAAAAGGGGGATGACATTTACTTTACGAACAATTCAAGCGAGCTACTGACTCCAAAAACAGGCTCATAATGGAACTCCTATTTAATAATAATTTAGCCCTATAGATTCATGCTGGAAAATGCCTCATGTGATCCACCAAACAATTGCTGCCAAAGATAACAAGGCTCCATGTCCAAATACAAAATTAGAATGCGGCCAAACTCTCCTGCACGCAATTTCTTCCATTAACTCACCGCTCTGAATTCGCGCAAACAAATGAAAAGAGAGTCAAATTACAACATAGGACGATCGCCGCATTCCAAAATATTTTAAGCAATTCGGATCGCATAAAATAGACCTACGGAATAACACAGCACTTCAGCCGACCTCTCTATACCAAGCTCAAAACACAAAAACCATAATTTTCAAACACTGAAAAAAGCATTCCCCGGGAATTTATCGAACCAAAATTTACAATTAAGAAATACGCAAGAACTCTAAGATCCACCTACCTTCCCCGTTCTGCTCGCTTTCAGGGAACTCCTTCTGCAGAGCCCGATCGATAATGTCCGCGAAGCTACCCTTGCTCCCTTCCTCCGTCAATGAGGCAGTCGCATTTCTCCGTTCCGAGTCGTCGGCAAGGGTTAGTGAAGCGCGAGAGAGGAGCAAAACCAGAAGCATCGGGAAGACAATAAAACACCCCAGAGATATTATTGGAGCGTAAAAGCGTCGGCGGCGGCTGTCATTCATCGTCGGCTAATCGAGCTACTCGGAAGAACCGAAAAGTGATGAGGTGGGGTATTTCCGTCGAGATGAAGAGTGGTTTGGGAGGAGCGGCTGGAGTCGAAGTGAGGCCACCAACCACACTAGCCTCCCTGCTATTTCAGATCTAGCGCGCCCATGATTTTTTCTTCCTCTAGTTCTTCCGTTTTTCTGCGCCTGTGGTAAACCACGGTGATGGGATCATAGCCCACAAATCAACTTAGATATGGGCTTAAGTATGAATCTAAAAAATAAATAAACATAAATATAACGGAAACACTTACATATTGTGCATCTTAAATTTTCTTGTAGATCATGTTTAAGAAATAGAATGTCAGTAGGCTAAATATAAAAAATAGATAAGACATAATAATACAAAATCTTTTAAGAAAATTGTACAATAGTCCCCTTCTAGTGAAAATAATCTTCCTAATTATAAATCATATATAAGGTACAGTAAATTACACGATCCCCCCCCC